TGGATTTCGTCACTGTGAGGGAGATCGCGCCGGTTATTGGCGAATACCGTACTAGTTGTACTGATTTTATTGTTGGTCCAGAGAAAATTGGAAGATGTCTTGTTGACGTCTTTGCAGTAAATAAATACCATATATATAGAATAGTTACCCCAACTCGGGACTTCCACCTACACTGCAGAACAGGTGTATTTGGAAGTCACTCGCCCTTGTTGCGGATGCCAGTAACTACGGAGTATTTAACTAGTGGATAGATCTAAACATCCAAAGACCACCACCTCGCCGGCGCGGGTTGATTGCGCTCAGAGCAAGTAGGGTTTGCAAAAACCAGGCGAACAACTAACTACCCCCCGGATTGTTTCAGTTCTTTGTTGTCTGTGAAGGTTTAAACCCCTTTTTATTTATCTATCTATTTCTGACGCTTTGATGAAACAACCTGGGCTTATCCTCATCCCTGTCAACTACTGGAAGCCTTTGTGAGATATGAACGTTCTTTGGCCACTCTCGCGGTAGACAGCGAATTTAATTTTGCTACTATGTTGTGTATTGCATTGCGCTCGTCCTTGACGACCTGGGGAAAAGAAAATTATACAGTACATATTCCACTACCCGTATCCCGCCAGTATTAAGAACGAATCACGTCATAAACCTACAGTTGCCTTGTCGCTGTCGCTGATGGATCACGTATTAGGAACTCGCCGAAGAACCATCAGCATTGGATTGCATTGGATTGCCCAGTGGGACGCTCCCAAATCAAACCCAACGTTGAAGAGTTGCACCCGTGGACACCATTCCCAAAGCAAACAAAACCTTCTTGATTTGTCCTTGTACTAGTCAATAACTATCTAAGTTCGAGGCGTTTATATCATCCCGGAACATTTACTAAGCGAAGGGGGAAAAGCAATGGAAGAGGATATTTCCATGTTTCTCTACTGCATCCACTAAGTAGAAAAAAAAATCATGAATAAACTTCTAATAATTTCTTTGCTAAGGTCACAGAGTTTCTATGTCAGAGCCACTTTGTACGGTACGTACGACACCTGTTGAAAATAGAGCTTGTCATGGACTGAAGCATCGGGCATCCAATGTCAAAGGGTGCTATTTAAAACAAACGAGAGAGAGCGAGGACGTTAGGCAAAAACTGCAGCCACCTGATGACACAGCCAATTTCAAATCTTCTTATCATTCAAATAGCTAAGCGAAATCTTCGGGGGTAGGCAAGCCTTTTTGCAGAAAAAGGAGCGGCTCATCATGATCGATCGTCAGGAGCTATTTTATCATTGAAAAACGCCCGGAAATGGTTCCGTGCTCCAACCCGGGAAATGCTTCCAATCTCTGCCGGGGTTAAGCTGAATTGGAGTGTGCAGATTTAGCCTATCAATCGAGACCTTTTACTGCTCGTCGTGATGGCGATGGCACCGTGATCGATACACCACCGCAGCAACACCTCCACCTCAGTAACAGCGTACTTCTTGGCTAACCCAGCCAGGATGCCATCAACTGGACCACCTTTAGCTGTCGTTGCCGGCGGGAGTGGGTCATACGCAACATTTCTGATACCCCTTTTTTCTTGGAAAAGCACCGTGTCACCATGCTCTAGGTATGGATGATACTCAATCTGGTTGATGGCGGGTATCATTCTGGCTGTTCTTTAACACCCCTTCGAGCTCGCGCTGACGGAAGTTTGAGACGCCGAGAGATCGCGCTTTGCCTGATTCTTTCGCATTTTCCGTCTCAGCCCACACGCCTTGGAGGTCCTTATCAGATTTAACAAAAAATGAGCTGTGGATTGGATATCTGAAGTAAATGAGGAAAGGTAAAAGTTTCCTTAGGAATGAACGCATTTCAACCAGCATTTTTAGCGACAACGATTATGACACGTACAAATCTACATAGTCAGTTGAAGCTTTTCCAAGCTGGCACCAATGGCAAGGGGGATGTCGCTAATGTTCGTGATATTATAACTTTGGTCGTGACGAACAGTTTTC